TGTTGAGACCAATTTATGTTTGATGTGTATCCTCAATTCCTCATAATGTATGTGTATACATAATGTATATATGCACATTACATGAAAATATGCTTTATGCTCTTGAATCACTTTTGTGGAGTTTACATGTATTTTCAATATTAAAATGAATTTTAAATTTAAATTTGTTAAAAACCAGCAAAACAATGTTTAAATGCTGTTTGCAAGGAATGCACCGTTTATAGTCTTTTATAGTCACAATTTAAGTTAGATGTTTTGTGGAATCAGTGGCATAAAACTCAAGCAAATTAGTATATTAAAATAGAAAAAGTTAACAAAGAAGGAACATTTGCAGTTTTATTACCACATATTAAAAAAATGTGTGCTAAGGTAATTATTCATAGTAATGTCAAAAGCAGTCAATCATCCGTATTTAAATTAAATATAGAATCAGTGATTCAAAAAGACTCAAATAAGGCTGTAATTCAAGATGACTGGGCAGAAAATTATACTTGTTTTTATTAAAACAAAACGCAAGGAGATTATTTTGGTCAAAATAAGATTTCTATTTTTACATGTGCAGTTTGGCATCGACAAATTAAATCTTTTGTGCTAGTTTCTGATTCAAGCAACCATACAAAATTATCTATTGTTCCAAACATAAATAAAATTTAAACATTAAAATGCACTGACATTTTTTTTGCTGCAATGTATGAAAAAGGAGTTGTTGATGGAATTGGAACCACTGTAAAATGTGTTGCCAGAAAAAATATTTTATTGAAAAAATATAAAATTTCTTGCTAGCGCAAGAAATTTTATATTTTTTATATTTGGCTATTTCTACAAATAATTTTAAAATTACTGTTATATTACTAAATAAAAAAGAAAAAAAAACTAAAAATAAAAGAATTGTGTAAATGCCATTACTTTCAAGTTTTAGACGGAAGCTTTGTTGGTAAACAGCTTTCGTTGAGAAATTACATGATACAAAGAAATAAAAACTTATAAATTTATATTTAGTGTCTTTATAAACTGTAGAAAGAATTTTTATCATTTCTAAATAAAAGCTATAAATATGAAGTATGAAATTTGTTTTATGTTTAAATCTAAGTTATAATAAAAATTTGCATATTACGTAGTTGATAATTGTGTAGCTGACTTCATGGTTTTTAAAATTATTATTATATTTAAAAGGTTAAATTAAAAATGTTAAAAAAATAAATAAAACTTGGACAAAACAATTGTTATTAATGAAAAAGAATTTTTTTATAAAAATATAAATAAAAATTAAAGAGAAAAATTAATTTAAAATTTAAATAAAAAAGTTTTTTTTGCACGTTGCGTAGCTGACCACTGTCTTTTAGATCTACTTATGTCAAATTTTTTATTATCTTGTGTTTTTTTTAATAACAATAACAAATGATAATTAGCATATACAAAAAAAAAGAAGAAATTTATATTATATTAGGTCAGTTAAATCTAGAAAAACTTGTTTTGCACGTTGCATAGCTGACCGAAGAACTCTAAATTTGTAAATAAAATTATGCATTTGTATAATAAAATTATACATATGTATAATTTTATTTACAATTTAATTTGAAATTTCTGCTTCATTTTTAACATATTAGAAAAATATAATAAGTTCCTGCACCTTGTTTTCTAGAAAATAAGCCCTATATATATCTATATCTTATACTGCTGATTTATCTGATCAGTCTGACATCATTCTAAAATAGCCTGCTGCCTGGAGCTTCAGTACAAACAGCCTTACTTGCAACGGAATGCTACTACGTTGACTGAGGGTTTGGCTTGGGGCAGCAATCTTTTCATTCATTATTCTTTGTTTTTTTCTTTTTCTAAAAATGTCATATAGATTAAGATGAGCAAAAAAAGTGAACAAATGCTTATATAAATACGCAATTGTGTAAATATATATATATATATATATATATATATATATATATATATATATATATATATATATATATATATATATATATATATATATATATATATATATATATATATATATGCACCAATAAATTGCCAACCTTATTTCTATGTTAAATGATAACCCCTTTGTGTCAAGCTTTTTTGTCAACCTAATGTGGAACTTTAACTGTTCGAGGTTGGTAATAAATTGCCAACCTCATATGCTAGAGTGCATCCAACGTCCCATACTTTCAAAAAATTGATCTGTTTCTTTTCCTAAAACTTTCAATTGGTTCTCACAAGGTACCCTGTTAAATTTTTTCAAAATTGAATGAGATTTAGGGTCCTACTTTAAGTCTGAAACTTGCAACAAGACTTTAAACAGAAGAAAAAAAGTTTTTCAAATGTATGTCATGTTGGGTCTCAAAAGAAGCTAAACTTACTAAAAATTTTATAAATAATTATCTTTTTTTGTTGAAAATACCTTAAAAAAAAGTTTTGACAAAAACCATCGAAAAAAAATTTTTTTATTTTTTTTAAAAAATAAAAAAAAAAAGTAAAACTTAGAGTAATATTTTTTATTATATTTGAAATTTTTATAAAATTTTTTCTGAGAAATGAAATTGCTTCTTTTGAGACCCAACATGAGGTATATTTGAAAAACTTTTTTTTCTTCTGTTTAGGGTCTTGTTGCAAGTTTTAATTTTGAGGTGGCCCCCCTAAATCTCATTCAATTTTAAAAAAATTAACAGAGTGTCTTGTGAGAACTAGTAAAACATTTTAAGAACAGCACCTTAGTATATGTATATAGATGTATATACAAGAGAAAAACTATTTATATTATCTACTTTTTAAGGTTATGAAAAAAAAAATTCTATTTTATAATTAACTATAAAAAGTTTTGAACATTTGGGTAGCTGTTATGCAAACTGCTATTTTTCAGTTGTTCGGAATTAGTACTCCCTTAAATAATATTTATAAAAGCTTGAAATGTATTTTTTACAATCAGCCTAAAAAGTTTAAAAAACATGGAAATAGACTTAAAGTTATGTGAAGTAATTGATATATCATGCTAATAAATTTTTATGCTCATACTTTATGTAGTCGTTTTTTTGAATAATTTTTAGTTAGTGGTAGAAAATAAATATCTTTAAAATATTTGTGTTAAGTTAATGATTAATGTTCAGGCTTGGTCGGGAAGCGGGAGCGATCGCTCTCGAATACTGACCACGGAAATTATATTTAGTTGCGAAAAACTGGCCAGGTTTTTTAGTCGTTTTGAGAACCTTTAAGTTTATGTATGAAACAAAAATTTTTTGTTTTATGGACATACATGGAAACATAAACAACTTGAATGTTCTCAAAATATCTTGGTGCGTAAGAATAAAAAGAATATTCGCGAACACTAAAAACCCGCCAAATTAACGAACAAACTAATTTTATTGGTTCAAAAAATACGCTGACTAAGCAAATAAAGTTTTAAAGTAATCTGTTGAAATGTTTTAGAAATTGTATTATTTACGATTTGTTACGTTTTGAGATTTCTAGCATAAATTGTTTTAAGAATATATATTATTTGTTTACAAAAATAAATGTTTTAAATATATATTAATTAAATTGTCAAAATTTTAAAAGTTTATTATAAATTATAGATTTTATTAGTATATTCTTATTCTTTATTTAAAAAGTATGTATTCTTTATGTAAATGTAATTGTTTGTATCTGTTTTTTATCGTAATGTATCTTTTAAAGCAATTATTATGATTTAAACAAAGACTTACACAAATATTTGCATTTTCAATGAAGTTATAATCGTCTAAATTAATAAAATTAATTATGTAACAAACATATAAGAAGTTTCTGGTTACTAAACACAAACAATGCATATGAAGTAACTCGCGGATGAACAAGCACCGCGTACGACAGAACACAAATATTTATAGCAAATAACTAGAATCAAAGAAAAGTTTCTAGATATTGGTTTACTGACTTTTCGCTTAAGTTGCCATTCTTAAAACTCGTTATACTTTTATCTACTTTGAATACTAATTAAAACTAAAAAGCCCACTCACTAAACATCATCAGCGATATTGTGAAGCAGTTTGGCTTCCTCGTCATTAAGTATTTTTAATCTTTTTAGTTGATTTCTATTTTGTTAATTTAATTTCTATAGTAATTCAATGATTTAATTATTTCATTTGTTTATCTTACTTAGAAGAATTGCTTCAAATATGTTAAATTTTTCAAACTACGCGAAACATAAAATAGGTATTAAAAAAATAAACTTTTTTATTTATAAAATAATTTAGCTTAAATAAAACTAAAACTTGCAAACTTTGTTAATTAAGAATATTTGTTTCCTTTTTAAACAATCGTAAGTTGTTACTTTATATAAAAAACATCGCTTAATTTAAATAAAAAATTATAAGAGCGATGTTTCGAAAATATTTTAAACGTAATTTATTTAGCTTTAATTTTTTTTTTTTTTTTTGTAATTGTCTCTCATCGGTCCAATTAATAATGATCGCTTTTTTTTTTTTTTTTTTGCTTTTAAAAATGTTCTCAAAACGACTAAAAAATCTGGCCAGCTTTTCGCAACTAAATATTATTTACGTGGTCAGCAATCAAGAGCGATCGCTCCCGCTTCCCGACCAAGCCTGATGTTCAGTACTTTATTGAAAAATTTGTAAAAATTCTATAAAAAAAAAAGAAAAAAAGAATGGGATTATTAATTTTTTTAATATTTTTAATGTGTGTTAAATGTGCAGACTTCACTAATTACCTGAACATTAATAACATAAGCACCTTGATCATGACATACAGAACAAATTTTGCATACAATTTCTTTCAAAATTCCTTATGGAGATAAGTGTTACACCTCTTTATTGTCAACTTGAGTTTAATGTTAATGTTGTGAATTTTGTGTCAATCAATCATAAATGAGCATTACTATTAAGTTACTCATTAATATGATTTAGTCACTTCAATTATTATATTTTGTTGAGAGTTTAAATATAATTTACAATATCTTAGTAATTAAAAAAAAAATGAAAGTTTAAATTTATACACTTTTTAATTTTTTTATATAGATTACAGACTTTCATCCGATAAAACACAACAATGAGTTTATTGAAAAGTATCCGGAAGGATTAAATCCTGGAATATCGATACGAAATCTGAGCAAAGAATTTAAAACAGAACGTGGTAGGTTAACTTTTTAATAATTACTTTTCTAAAAAAATGTGTTTGATTGTGAGTGATTGGAGTATCCTTTCTTAAATCATTTAAAGCCTGAATAATGACTGTAACACTATTATTTTTAAATGGGTTTTTTTTAGCAGTGATGGCATTTGGTGTAAAAACTTTAAATATCAAAAATTATTTATTTTGGATGATTTATTGGACAAAACATTTTTAAACATTGTATTTGTTTGTTAGTGGGGTTTATAGAATGTTTTTATTAATCAATAAAAAATTTGATAAATTTTATGATTTTTACTTATCTTTTAAAATATCATAAATCAGCCTACAAAATCAAGTTACTTGTGTTCCAATACTTTTCAACTTTTCATTCAAATGCATTTGATATTGTAAAATCGCATATTACAAATTCTTTTGCGTATTACAAAGTCTTTCTCTTTCCTTTATTGAAACATTAATTGTTTTTTAATTAAATGCCCCATAATGTTAATAATTAATTCTTCTCATTTAAATCATTGGATATTTGGTTTTTTCATACATTACAACTTTAATAGAGGAAAGCTTCTATTAAATAGATCTGTAGATCTGTATTGCAAAAAAAGTTTTTTGATAGATAATCTAAGAAAATAAATAAAAGTGATCAACATCTATCTCTTTACAACATCATTAAAAACTTTGGGTTACCAACTTTTACTCCAACTAAGTTTAGCAGGAAGAAATGTGTTGATCAAATTGTTGGTTTGGGAGCTGAGTATGAGTCACTAAAAGAAATTCCTGAAACAAGAAGACAAGAAAAAATAGCAAAACAGAAAACTAGATGTTTTAAATTAAAACTAAACAATTTGTTTGACACACAGATAACTACACATTGCTGAAACATTCTGGTAATGATGAGTGGCTTATTGACTGGGAATTCCTAAAAGACTAACAAAACTTTATTTCAAATGGGCTTAATGGCTGGAGTGGACAAAATTATTACTAAAAGGACCAATGACACTACACAAAACTGCAGCATCATGAAAGACAAAAGAAAAACATTAAATTCACATAACCTGAATTTTACTCAATTATTATAATTAAATCATTGAGTGTGTCAAATTGTCTTCAGATATTACTGAAGATAAGGGAGATAAAAACTTTTCAGTAAAAGAAAAAACAAACCATAAATGCAAAATTACTATAATGCTGGAAATTCCAAGAGAAGAATTGACTGCAAATAGTACTGTTTATAATGAAGCAATTCTAATTGAGAAGGAAGTTATTTATTCTCTACTCCCACTTGAATGTAGACACCATATACCTAAGCTCTTCATAAAAGCAACATCCAATGCTCTCTGTGGTCAAATGCTCTTTCGTGGTACTCTGTGATAAGACGGATTGGTCTCCATAGAGCACTTTAATATCAAAAACAAAACTTTGCTGTTTGTATTTTAGTACCACTTTATTGTTCATGTTTTAGTACTATGCAATAGCAACAGTTTGTATTATAATTGTTTTATTGGTACATGTACCAATAAAACAATTGTTTTAAATGTACCATGTTTAATTTATAAGTCAAAAATTGATTTGCTGTTTAAAATGTTGCTGAATTGGCTTATGTATAGCGGGAATTTATCAACGCTTGTTAAAGTATAAACTAATGCAAAAAAATTTTATTTTTTATCATTTTTTTTTTTAATTATTCACCTCCCCAAGGCCGAGAAGACCACTACAGTTGAGGAGGCTACTTTTGCAGTTATAACCCTCAGCTCTATAACTCCGAAAGACGAACCTCAAAAAACAAGGTAGCTATGCGGAGAAACAAGTTGGGATCAAAAATGCTAAAAAAATGCAAAATCTATTTCATAAAACATTATTTCATAAATTACTATTTCATAAAACAAATAAAAAATTGGTTGGTATAACAAATAAAAAATTATGCTTCTGATATCTTCTTAAATACATTTACTTTCAAAATTAAGTGAATAACTAGACTGGTCAACAATGAATTTGCACCAGCTTTAATTTTAGGCTTACTAGATCTAGTTTTTCACGCTGATTCTTAATCTGTGTTTAGTACACGTCTGAATCTTGAGATAATGTGTGTTTTTTGCACTAATATATAGTTTCAGTATGAAATATACTAATGTTTCTTTATTTTCAAGGTAATTATTTCAATAAAATTAACTTATATAATGGCTAGAATTTGCAAAAATTTACCATATGGAATATTATTATTTTTCAGTTATCCATACTGGCAAACTAAATTAGAGTTTAAATTGAAGATTTATTATGTTATTTAGCATGTATGTCATGTTTTAATTCTTTTACTACCACAGTTTGCTGTGAGCTTTTGTTCACAACAAAAAGTCTGGTGACTATTTGAAACATATTAGGCCGTAAAGAAGAAAAGAAGAAAAAAATATATCAGAGTAATTGTCAATTTAAGAGAATTTATAATACAGATATGACAGATATGGCAGATGTCCAGTTTGAAAATAGTTAATTCAAAGAAATAGTTGTAGTTTAATCATGTATGTACATGTCTACAGTATGATTGTCACATGGGGTTGAATTTATGATTAAAAATTATTAATTGGTTATTTCTTATGCACAACTAATGTTTTTTTTTAAATGACATTTAAAAAATGCTATACACTCACCTATCAACTGACTTAAATAAGAAAAGACCTCTAATTGTGTTATGTAAAATTTCAGTTGTTATTATCAAACATGCCATATCTTATCTTTCATACTATGTTTTAAATAACCCCATTGTCTGTATCAATTAGCCCCAATGGCAGGTTTGTTAGAATATTTTTGTCTAACTCTCTGATCTATCATATATTAAAAACTACATAACTAAATTTAATCATTATTAGGGAAGTCATTAATAGTTTCTAGGAAAAAACATAAAATTACAAATAGTACAAATTACAAATTTTACATTTACATTTTGTGATAAGGCTAACTAAACATGAGAAAAAAAAGCAGTGTTTGTTTATCAGTGCTCATTACTGTGCTTTAAAATTAAATTATAGTTACATCTAATCATGTCATTTAAAATATTGCAAAACAATCTTATTCAATTATTTTCACATTATTTTTACCTTGATTATTTGGCAGGTGTCAACCTCTGACATTATTTTAAATTTTTATTATGGGAATGTACATAATGTACATTTATTATTGGGAGGTATTTGTTGTGATTAAATTCATGATTCTGTTATAGGTAAAAAAGTAGCTGTTGATGATTTATCTTTAAATCTTTATGCTGGAGAAATCACAGCATTTCTTGGGCATAATGGAGCTGGCAAGACAACTACAATATCTATGCTAACAGGTTTGATACCTCCATCCACTGGAACTGCAATTATTAATAACTACAACATTTTAAAAGATATTGGTTCAGTTAGAAAAAGTCTTGGTAAATTACAAGTTATTTTTCTATGTATAATTGATGATTTTTCTTGACTTTCTTAAAACTTTTTTATGATTAGTTTAAATAAAGGATTTTTAAAAACATGTATATATACACTTATTTTGCAGATATATCGTTCGTATATATTTGCAGATATATGTTTATATATGTCATATGTAATAATATACTTGTCACAAATTAAGTTTTAAAACCAACATGTTTTTGTAGAAAAATACAATTTCTGACACTTTATATATTTAAATAAAGAATTAAACAAAAATGATTAAATAAATGCATTTTTTTTTTGCTATAAGTCTTTTATCTGCACCTTTTCAAGATGTAATTGAGAACTGGAAAATTGTAATTAAGAAATGTATGATGTAATCAAGAAAGATAAAAGTTGTAATTGTAAATGTAAGTTTTAAATGAAGTACAAGATGAAAATATTAATTAAGAAATGTAAGATAATTTATAAAATAAAAATAAGAAATCATAAGATTGAGACATAATAGTTGTAATTAAGAAAAGTTTATAATATAAGTTCTCAGAACAAAGTTCTTTATTTATAATTTTGTTGCCTTAATTTACCTAATAATTTAAGATTATATCCTAATTTGGCCAAGGCCATATGGGTTGGTATTCAATAAAAAATAATATACTATCAATAAAATAAAAAAGAAAAATTCAATTGAGAATTTAAATGAATAATAAATAAAACAGATATATTTTATTTACAAAACAATATAAAGATTAAAATTGAATTTAAATTATGTCGTTAAAAATCATTGTAATATTCAGTCAACACCAACTTCCGTATTTAAAATCGTTGCCTAATGTGTGATTGTATGTTGCATAGCACATGCATAATCACCTCTCGTTGTTTATTTTTTTGTTGCAATTCTTTCCAAATTTGTTGTACTATAATCTTATATTGTTTTTCATTTGTTGTACTATAATCTTAACACTGAATACATGTGGAATGTGAAACACATTTTTAACATTACTTTTAATTTTTAACCAGATTGTTTCCACCAAGTTTAATATTGGACTGTAGGGTCCTAAATTTAACAACTGAGCCAGTGAGTTTTCAAGCACCTTTTTCAAAACAGTGTGACACAGCATGTTGTTGACGTATTGTTTGTTATGATAGGGTAATTAAACTTCAAACCATCCAAAATTTAGAAAATTCTGAACCATGGGTCATATTTCTTTCAAACATCTTGGCTGTTGCTTGTTACAAAGAAAAGTTCACACAAAAAAATTTTTGGCCCAAATCGTTAAAGGGTATTTCAGTTGTAATATTGACCTGGTTTCCCAAAATGACCTGGTTTTCATAACATTTTGAAAAAACTTCAATAAAATGAGAAATAACAAAAATATGAAAATAAATATTTATTTTTTGATGATGAATTCAATAAATTTACTTTATATGCTTAAATATAAAGGAAACATGCTGAAAAGTTAATAAAACAACAAGTTTATATGACTCAACATTGGGGAGCAATATCTCACAACCTTCAATTTTTTTGTTTTGATTTTGCTTTTAATATTTTTAGTTAGTTTCCAGTTCTCAACAGTAACTTATATAACTATAAATTTAAAAATATATATATATATATATATATATATATATATATATATATATATATATATATATATATATATATGTATGTATATATATTAGAGTAGGTCGATTTTAGTTCCGCATATTGGGTTATATTGCAATAGTTGGAGGAAGTATGAATATGATTACTCTAAAAATTTGAAAGATTTTGGATGAAGATTCGCTTGCAAATTTAATTTTTAAGATTTATAGGATTATGCAAAAAAATGCTTAAAAAGCATTATACGAGCAAAATTAACATTTTAAATATGTTCATACCTAAATGTTTTTTATTATTATTTGTATATGTGAATGATTTAGATTTATAATAATTTATAACAATTAAGCTAAATTTAAAATAAACATTATTTTCACAATTTAAAACATTTTGAACCTGAGATATATAATTTTAGAAAAACGTTTTTAATTTAAAAATATCATTAAAAGAATGGGAAAAATGCCCTTTTGGAATATATGGTTTGCGCATCTTCCTGGTTAGTAGTTTAGTTGTTAGTAGTTAGTAGTTTAGTTCCTGGTTAGTAGTTTAGTAATGCAGTTGTTCTTGAATCCATAAAAATATTAGGATGCTTCTGACACAAGCAGCGTTTTTTTATTTCGCTGAAACACGTTTTAAGAATGTTCATTGCGATTTGAATTTTAATCCCAATGAAGTCTTTTGGGTACTTGCGAGTATCTCAAAAACTAGTGACCGTGTAGCTTTCAAAACATGAAAGAAATTGTTTTGTTTTTTCAGAAAATATTTTGTAGAATCAATTCTACAAAACTTTTTCTGAAAAAACAATATCTTTCATGTTTTGAAGTAGTAAATCTTGTCTTTGTTTATCTGACTGGTACCTCTTTTATCAATGATATTATAACATTTAAGCTTGTATCCCTCTACATTACTAAACAAAACATTCTATTATGACTTAGTGGGAATGTTTTTGGTACATGTCTAACATGTCTAAGTGACACCGCTCGCTCATACCTGTGAGCGAGCGGTGTCACTTAGACATGTTAGACATGTACCAGTGAGATGGAAAGTCAGAATTTGATATTTGACAGGGGCCGAGTTTGATAAAATATAACTGGAATCAGGGCAGGGGTTGGGTTTGTGACCGGGCTTGCATAAACATTTATACATCCTCAAGTATATTTTTTTTACTCAAAATTCATGTTATATTTTGTATATATATGTATATGTATATAAACATCATTATGATCAACATGATTATCATAATCATCATTATTATCATGATGATGATGATGATCCTCATCATCATCATCATTATCATCACGATCACGATCATCATCATCATCAACAACATAAAATAGGAAAGCTAACGCCTGATGGTGATGATCATTATCATCATCATCATGATCATGATCATCATCATCATCATCATCAGCTTCCAAACATTTTCATAACTAAATCTCATTCATACAATATGTAAAGCACTCTCTTCAAGTTTTCTTACTACCACTACCATTTTCTACTGAAGCTTCAAGAATAAAAAAACTTCAAGATTAAAAAATCTTGAAAATTTCTAGAAATTTTCAACCCTATTAAAAAGTAGTAATTAGAAGCTGTAATATTTATAAAAATCTTTTTTTTTATATATATATATATATTTATAAGATCATTAATAATAAATTAAATGCATTAAATCAGGTTGTTACATAAAATATTATTTTTAATATTATTTTAACAAAAATCATTATATTTTATTATTTGTTACAGGTATCATTGTTACTATTTGTTTCATATTATTATTACTATTGGTTACAGGTATTTGTCCTCAGCACAATGTTCTATTTGATCACCTCACTGTAGAAGAGCATTTATGGTTTTTTACTAGCTTGAAAGGTGTTGATGATAAAAATCTTATTACTGAGGAAGTCAATCGTATGATTGACTTAGTTGGTTTAGCTGATAAAAGAAAATCAAAACCAAATAGTTTGTCAGGTGGTATGAAGCGTAAGTTATCAGTAGGAATTGCTCTTGTTGGAAACTCAAAGGTAATATGGTCTTTTTATTTTTTATTTTACTACTTTTACTATTTAGACAAATATTCTGAATAATATATGTATATATATATATATATATATATATATATATATATATATATATATATATATATATATATATATATATATATATATTATAATCTAGTATATATATAAATATATATATATATATATATATTATAATCTAATATATATATATTATAATCTAATATATATATAAATATATATATATATATATTTATTTATATATATAAGTCTTTTTAAAAAAATATCTTTGAATTAAACAATATTATTATTATTATTATTTGTATCAAACTACAACGACATCGTCGTGAGAAATGGCTATATAAAGACCATTTATAGAAGTTGTAATTATGCATTTTTTATATAATTATCATAATTGTTTTTAAAAATGTTTGTTCTTTTTGAGTTTTGACAGTATAATAGCAGTTAATTACATTGTTTGACTATCCTGTTTGTGAAGAAGTTGTACCGGATATCAGACTTGTTTTGTTCTCTGGTTAGAAAGTTTTGTTGCCTTGCAGCGTGATTGTGTTTTTCTTGGGTTAAACTAGAATATAAGTTTATTTTATTTAATCCATTTTTAATTTTGATATGTTGTATTTGGTCTCCTCTTAATCGTCTTTCTTCCAGTGTTGTCAGACCAAGGAAGCGGATCCTTTTCTTGTATGTTTTACCACTAATTTCTCAAACTAGTTTAGTTGCCCTTCTTTGGACTGATTCAATTGCTTTGATATCTTTTAATTTATTTGGATTTCATACTGAAGCACTGTACTACAGATGTGGCCTCACCATTGACGCGAAGAGCATATTAAAAGTGGTAATGTTAATGTATTTGAATGAAAAAGCTGAGCCAATATACAATTTGACGTTGCTATTATGAAATGGATGTGCTGGTCCCACTTTAAGTCAGCGCTGATGATCACTCCTTGGTCTTTCTCAAACTCTACCTTTAATAATTGATGATAATAAATAGGCGATTCTTCTGTCAGATTGGCATTTAGTTTATTTCTTTCTTTACGCAAATCATAATCTAACTTGGCTTGTGCCGGTTATACTTATACCTCAGCAAATTATACTTATTTGCTGAGGTATTAGCTTACTTTTTATGCCAGCAGTTACAACACTACTTCATGTTTTATGACTAGAATTTTGTGATTTTTTTAAATTACTTATCTCATCATTTTGTTTCCTAACAATCTCTTTCAAATTTGCAACTTCGGCTTGTAATTCTAACAAAACTTCTTCTAAAATTGCTGTTGTTAATTTTCCATTTTTACCAGAAAGTTTTGTGTTGGTCATTGTTAATAGGATTATATGAAAAAATAATAATGATAATAATAACAACGATAATATTATAGCGGTAATTTGAATGCAAGAACGGATATCGTAATTTTATTCTGTATGGTTATTGGTATGATAGGTTCAAATATATAAATTTTTTAAGATTACCGCTTTTCGGCTTTGTTTGTTTTTTATTTCCATTAAAATATTTTATTTTTATGTACCGTGAAATCTAATGTATTTTTACTAATTCTTACTAAATCCAAAAAGAAGTATTAGTTTTGTTTTTAGAATAAAATAAATATAAGTTGGGCTTTTAAAAAGTTTATTTATCGATCGCGTTATTTTCAATCGGTTTAAAGTTTGGTTTGTTTTGTAAAAAAAATTCTTCTAAGATTTAACGGCAAAGGGAAAACCCAAACATAACTTTAAACATAACATTAAAACTCGAGTTTGAAAGAACTTTTTTGTATTGACATCATTTATTAACTACAAAAGCGCATTATTCAGACCAGTATTTGGAACTGGAACTTACCTGAAACTTAACTGAAATTAAAATAAAGTTATTTGTAATACAAACATTTTAAAGTAACTTGAATTAAATTTATTACATTTTTTTTTTATTTTAGCATAAATTTTGGAAATTTTATCTGTAAAAAAATTGTATAACGGAGCTTTTTTAAATTTTTTTAAAGAATTTTAATTAAATTTAACCAAATAAATTACTAAAACTATGAATAATAATAAAATTAATTTAAATTTAATAAAATAAATTAAATATATATATTTTTTTTAAAACAGAAAATAGAAAAAAGGATATCTATTTGTTTTTTATCTAATAAAAAAAATATTTCACAAAAGTTTTTTTACAACAATTAATTACAGTTTAATGTTTTACCCATAATCTGTTAAAAGACTGTTTAAAATAAACTTATTGAAAAAAGTTTTTGCGTAACATAAATAGCCTAAACGCATACGATTTCACGTACGCGTTTATGCAATTTATATATATATAATCGTACGCGTTTAGGCAATATATATATATATATATATATATATATATATATATATATATATATATATATATATATATATATATATATATATATATATATATATATATATATATATATATATATATATATATATATATATTTATATATATATATATAATGATCCAGGGTTGCAAAAATTGTTTTTTTTGAAAAAAACCAAAAATCATAGGTTTTTTAAAAAAAAACCATGGTTTTTTTGGTTTAAATTAGGTTTTTACTAAAAAATGCAGTATTTAGTTAGTCTTTTAAATTAAAAAAAGCATAACGTATTTTATTTGAGTAAACTATATTCTTTATCAATATTATTGTTATATTTCATCAAAATTATTTAATATATCATAGTTTAATGTTGTATATATAAATACAAGCTTTGCTACTTTTTCTACGGTTTCTTAACTTAGAATGAACAAGACCAAAACTTTTTCCAATCGGTTTCTTAACTTAGAATGAACAAGACCAAAAGTTGAAAAAATTCTTTTGATTCCAGCACTAGAAGCTGGTGCATTTAATAAACCTTCAATTTCCATTATGTTATAGTAGATTTGGCTTTTAATTTGAGTAATATTGGTAACAAATTCTTGAACTCTTTATCTGCGAAATTCATGGCAGTTTTATTTTCATTTTCAGAAAGATTAAATCCAAAATATCTAGGATCTAGTGTGTTTGCCAGGAAATGAGCATCACTGACAGTCTGAAAGTATCTAGATTAAATTTTTTTTTTTTTTTTGATAAAAATGATAAACTGTTCATCAAATCTTTAAAAATTTCAAGAGTTACTTATTTTTGTTTGATCTCTTTGCAACTTATATAGAGCTACTGCAATTGGTTTCAATATTTTCAATAAATCTTCTGTTTTTCGCTTTATTTGTTTTTCACTTACTTTTTTACCAATCACGGGATCCAAGTCTTTATTTTTTTCAAAAATTGTAAAAATAATGCTCCAGTTGTTGACATATTTTTCAAGTGAATCACATCCAGAACTCCAGCGAGTTTCAGTAGGAAGTGGCAATTTTGTTCCTCCGCTTAATTCATAAATTGCTTCAGCTTGATGATTATTTCTTATATATTTTATTATTTGTGTAACATGCTTGCTCACATTTTTAATGTTAAGATTATTTGCTAAAAAATTCAGCATATGAGCAGCACACCCATAAGTTATGATAATATCTCTTTCAGATGACAATACTTGTCTGGCAATTTATTGATTTCACATTAGCTGCATTGTTAGTCACAAAGCTCTTTACTGTGCATCCAAATTTACGTCTTACAAATTCTATTGCTTCTCTTACTAATTGTGTAAGATATTCACCAGTATGTAAATGACCAGAAGTGTTGAATGTTTCTACTAAAATGTTAATTTTATCTGTAGTTACAGACATACAAACTATAAGTTCAATATGTACATTACTCCAGTCATCTAAAGACATGACTACAATTTTCCCATTTAATACATTACATTTTTCAATTTCTTCTGTATAAACCCTATCTAATAATTCTCCTCCAATTAAGCATAACCCTTTCTTAGTTTCCTGTTGTAAGTTCAAATCTTTTTAAAAAACATTAGTTTGGTTTAAACCAACATTATTTTAATTGGTTTAAACCATGGTTATATATAAAGTATATATATATAAAGTATATATAAAGTGTATATATATATATATATATATATATATATATATATATATATATATATATATATATATATATATATATATATATATATATATATATATATATACATGGTACTTTATGGGATCATCAGAGGTTAAAAAGAACCATAGCGACAAAAAAAAAATTATATACAAAAATAGATACAGTGTTAGCTTCGATAATGTTTAAGTTGCAGATAATGTATATGTTTTTGTAGCGTCATTTTGATACTAATTCATTTTTTTTATTTAATAATTTCAAAGATGGCATAATGGTATGTTATTTTTTAGTTAGATTACACAACTTTCCTTCTGGTTTAAATGGTTCCATCCTATCAATAATCTTCCACATTAGTTTATAATCTGTCTTTGAAACTATTGAATAAAGAAAATGAACTAGTATCAAAAAAATAGGCATAGTAAAATATTGAGTTCATTTTATTTTTAAAACATCATAGATTCAGTCAAGTGCTTATTAAATAGTTTAAAGAGAACTGAAGAGAGGGCTATGATAAGAATATTATCTGGACCATGAGCTACAGAAGAGTGTAATTAAGTTATGGCTTTAGCAATGGAATCTGAAGTGATTTGAATGTCTAATAATGGGTTGACCTATTTTACTGGAATGGCAGGAAGAGTATGGCCATAAGATTCAAGAGTCAATTTAGAGGAAAAGTTCTTTGCAAATAGTTCTACCTTATCCTTGGAATTGATGATAAGATCATTCTCATGAATTAGAGATGAAATGACTTATAGATTTTTTTAAAGACTCTAGAGCCTAACATCTGAGATAAGGTACAAGATTTTAAAAACTATGAAGAATGAAGCTTACAATCAGAGAGCATCTTTTTATATTGATTTCTTGCATTTATAAATAGGTGTTTATTCTCAAGAAAGTTCTTTTAAAAAAGATTAAAGAAATTATTACAATTAGATATATCAACTGTACAAAAAGGTGAAAACCATGGATAAGAATGAAGCT